TGCAAGTCTTAAAGGAATAGTTCACCCAAAAATGAAAATGTTGTCGTCATTTACTCACCCTTAAGTTGTTTCATTCACTTTGTGAATTTCTTTTTTTCTGTATAACACAAAAGAAGATGTTATGAAGAATGTGGGTAAGTACTGGAAAAAAAAATACTATAGTCAATGGGGATCAGAAACCGTTTGCTGTGGAAGTCAATGGGGACCAGCAACTATTTGGTTACCCACATTCTTAAAAATATCTTCTTTTATGTTCAACAGAAGAAATAAACTCATACAGGTTTGATACAACTTGAGGATGAGTAAATAATGACAGAATCTTCATTTTTGAGTGAACTTTCCGTTTAATGATTCATGCACAAATTGAACTGATTCAGCGTTTTTGGGTGAACTACTCCTTTAAAAAATGACTAACCCAGATTCGGCTTGCTTAAATGTACACTGGTGAAAAGTCAATAGGTTTGTGTGTTCTCAATCTGTTTGGGAAGAATTTTTGGCATGTCCAGACCAGAACTGATTTTCATGAAACCTTTGATTCACTCAACTATTGATAACTCGATGAGCTTTTACATGTGCCAAGGCCTCATCAGACGTGGCAGGACATTTTGGCCATCTCACTCTCAGCTGCAGCATGCCTGCGGTTCAAGACTCTCAGAAGAAATTTTCCACGTGATTTTCTAGCCCCCAAGACCCACAGTTATTCCTTAACCATGCCATAAATTTGGGCTAATATGGCAGCAAGCCACACCTCAGAAACGGCAGCACAAATGATCCTGAAGATTGAACGGTTACTGGACTGAATTTTTCACCAGAATGGCAAGCCAAAGAATGTTTTAAGTTCAAGTCTTATTCATTTCAATAAAAATGTAGGTAACCAATGTAAAAGTGATTTGTATATTACAGACGATTAATTGCATTTGCGATAATATCGCGATATGAGAAAACGCGATTTTTCAATCGCAGGGGCTGCGATTACACTCAGTCACGTGACACGCGAGAGTGAAGAGGTGTGTTCCACTTGAAGATCGATCGGTGTATGACATCAAAGAACAGCGAGAGAAAGCATAAGGAGACGTCTGCACTATTTTATAGCTGTCGCAGTACTTTGATGACACACACTCATCGGTCTAAGCAGCGCTGCTTCAAGTCGAGCGCGGGCCATCAGCAGAAAAAGAAAATAAATAAAACAGTAAACAGCCAAAGGACATAACTTAGAATGGGAGATGGATCGGTTTGTGAAAGGGAAGAGAAAAGCCATAGATGAAGTCTATCTTGCATATCTTGCTCTCGGCTTCACTCACCGTGTCTATACCAGACGCTACAGTTGTTGCGTCGCACCACAACAGCTCTACACTGGACGCGACCAAGCGACTGTTGCAAATCATTTTAACTTTGTGTCAGTACGACATAAATAAAACAAGGCATCAGTTTAATGTTGCGCCGCATCCAGTGTACACAGCGTCACTGATTATAATGGGTTCTACTGTATTTTGCCGCTCGCGTCCGGTGTAGACACTGTGTTTAATGTCGTTGGTGAGGAGGAAAGCCTGTGTGTGTCCTATGCCTTAGCAGACAGCATGAAACCCACAAAAAATAAATAAATAACAGAGAGAATAATAATAATAA